TTTTTGAGCCGAGGGTCTCCTGGAAACAGCCTCTCTACCCTTCGGGGTAGGGGTAAGGTCTGCGTACATATTACCCTCCCCAGACCCCATTTGTGGGATTATACTGGGTCGTTGTTGTTGTTGTTGTTGATGTATGTTAAGGTAGTGAGTAATGACGATGCCTGTGATGAAAATCTAATTTCGTTCTAAAATTCGGCCATCAATCTGATGAAGCATACAAGCGATGCGAGGACATGTTTCTTTCCCTAGTCCTTTGTTCATCAAAAACCTGTAAATAATTAAATCCCTTATTATTACGTGTTCTGATAATCCCCATTTTGCCAGTATAATCCCACATAATCTTATATCTGTAGCGCTTGACTAGCATTTCTTGATTCCATACCCTTTGAGTGTGATGAAGTTTGATTGGGAATTCAATATGTGCAGCAAAAACTTGCCAAGAAGGAAGGGGCTAGGATAGACCGTAATCGTGACATTGAACGCTTATGGGATTTTTATCAGCAATACAAAAGGCGGCACAAAGTTGATGATATTCAAAGAGAGGAGCAAAAATGGCGTGAATCAGGAGCAGTTAGTGCTAATTTAGGAGAGTATGTTTCTGTTACTTTTCTTGTTTCTTTGTGTTACTTAGCGCAATTCCTATTCTCCTTTGGTGTATCTTGCACTAAGGAGTGATAGCTTTACTGCATCTATTGCTCAAGGTTATGCTTGTCTGACAGATGGAATATATCTTATTTTTTAAATTAAAATGGGTTGTGAGAATCTTGTCTAACTTTTCATGATAATGATGCGAATTTAAGGCTTGAAATATGTGATATTGAAACTTTTGATTGCAGCATTACACATCATGTGAGGGATTTTCTATCAGCCATCAGGAATTTGTTGTTAATCATTACAGTATTCACTACTAAATTTTTCCTGAGTGTAACAGTAAATATGTCATTAAATCTTCGTGCCCGCTTAAATTGTCGTTTATAGCCTTGAAGATATGTATGCAATTTCGTGTGACATTCTGTAGTATTCAAGCTGAGATACTTGTCATTGTTTGCCTTTGTGTCTTTTCAGTGGGCTTGTTGGTTAGTGTTGAGGAATCATAGTAAAAGTGGCTTGGTTTGCCTGACTTGATTAATATTTATTTTGTTTCTGTCATCTGTAGTGTGTAGATCTAAATTGTTCATTCACTTGAAATTCCTAATTTTTATATTTCGGGGTGTGGGGCTGATCTTCTTGACCTTTTAGCTTAACCCTTGAGGTGTCTTTTCTGGCTATCTTCTATTTGCTGCAGTGCTTCCACTTTGATAGCATATTCACTTTTGGCGTATAAGCTGTTTCATGATGAAGATTGCGATAGTATTGAATTTTTATTGTTTTTATTATCTCAGAAGTTGAGCACTGATCTTACTCTTCTGTTGATCCTTGCTTGCTCTTTTTGTTAATGAAAAAGTTTCACCCATTAATTTTGTTCTTTTATTCTTTTCTCAGGTTGGGACTTAGATTTTCAGAAATGAGAAAGGTATTCGCTACCTTGAGGGCTGTGGTTGAAGTGATGGAGTCTCTGAGCAAAGATGCCGCTCCTGATGGTGTGGGAAGGCTTATTATAGAGGAGGTAATATTGCCTTTCACTTATTTGTATTTCTGTCTGAGTATAGTCTAAGACTAATTCCCCTACTTGTGACTTCTTCTCTCATGGTTTGTTCAGTTGAGAAGGATCAAGAAATCTGATGCAACTTTATCGGGGGAACTTGCACCTTACAATATTGTTCCTCTAGAGGCACCATCATTGACAAATGCTATTGGTTTTTTCCCAGAGGTAAGAATGTTGATTTTTCCTGTTATTTATGAGAACTCTGCAGTAAGATTTCCCCCTTATGTGCTTTAATCATTATCACCACTTAGAAAATGTCATCATTTTACTCCTTGCGTTCCAATTTGTTTGATTCTTTACCTTAGACAACAATATCTTACTGTCTTCCATCGTATTCAAAATGCAAAATAGTTTTACCTTGATGTGCTATTTACTCAACAAATTAACCACTTTTACTCGCTTCAACTATAATATAAAGCATATATCTAGGTAACTCCTATATATTCATTTTGAACTTTCTTAGTTTCTATGAGTCGTCTGCTTTTTTACTTTTATCTTGAGGCAGGGGTCTATCGGAAACAACCTCTCTACCTTCACAAGGTAGGGGTAAGCCTCCCCCCCCCCGACCCTACTTTGTGAGATTACACTGGGTTTGTTGTTGTTTAGTTTCTATGATGAGTCAAATCAGAAAAGGGTTATTATGATGTAGATATTACGTGCAAATATTTGCAGGCAGACTAGAATGTTGTAGTATGTATTTGTTTAGTAGTTGTCAATAATATTTATTTGTCAAATTTATCAATCTTCTAAATATTCCTCCTTTTATCACTTCACTTTAGCTCTAAATTTATTGCCTGTTCTGAATTATGGCCTTATTTGTTTTGCTTGTATAACCTTATTTTATTTCCTGTCTCTCTTGAGTGAAAATTCCTGACAAGAGTTTTGTGAATACCGGTGTTTTCTTCCGTTCCTTAAATCCTATTTTAACATAAGAAGAATTTGGGCTTGAGTGCCTGACACCATTGAAACTGCAAAGGAAAAATTGCACGTAATGCTTGTTGCCTGCCTGTACAGTCTGGATTCTGCTTAATTTAAACTAGTTTCTGAACCTGAGGATTATGAGTGTTAGGTTTCCTTTTATTTTGGGGCCTACACTTCTTTGCTGCAGTGGAGGATCATCTATTCTTTAATATTATATCTGCTTTGCTGCATGTGAAGAATCATCTATTCTTTAATATACATATGCGTTATATATATTCATGCAATGTATCAGAGAGAAATAATATTAGTGGGAAATATGTGCAGGTTCGGGGTGCCATATCAGCACTGAAGTACACTGAGCAGTTCCCTCAGCTACCCGCTGATTTTGAGATTCCTGGACAACGGGATATGGATATGTTTGATCTTCTAGAATACGTCTTTGGCTTTCAGGTTGGTGCTTAATAACATTTCGATATGCCTTATTTCTAATTTTTCCATGTAAATTCTGGAGAGATACATTGGAATTTATTGGATCTTTTCTTCTCCAAAAGAATTTGTGAGCTTCGGTTTACCAAATTTAGTATTTGCTATATGATTAGTGAACTTATCTTGTTAGCTGTTAAATTTTTTTTCGTAATGCCAGAGGTATCATTACCGCAAGGCATAGAGGGGGAGGTCATTTCTAATATATCCTGCCTTCCAGGATACATTGTAGGGCGTGTATCGGCATTACTTTTGTTCTCTAACAAAATCAAATACTGTCATATTATTCCTTGTAAATCTGCAAAATTTCCTTAATCAGGAAAGTGGTCAAGCTTTAAGCTGTTTGTATCAGTGGAACGATACACCTGAGCTTTGACCGTCAAGAGAACTTCCTTAGCTATAAAAAATGTTCTTATGGGAAGAGTCAGTGATTTCTATTTCCATAGTGGCCAGGAATTCATGGTTTTATTGAGTTAGGATGTTGCTCCTGTGGGCACACTGTTCTTGCCAAAGCAATCTCACTGGAACTGCGTGGGATTGTATTCTGTATACCTCTATATGAAGGTTGCAGATGGAAATGAACAACAATAGGATAGGAAAGTCATTAGTCCTATGTAAATTTGACCTTTAGCTCTAGCATTTCCTCATGTCCTATAATTCGTTCTAACCTGCTACTATGTTGAATTGTGTCACAATTCTTGCTTATCTAGGTTGCTCTTATGTGCAGAAAGACAATATAAGTAACCAGCGCGAAAATGTCATCCTCATTGTTGCAAATGCCCAGTCACGACTTGGGATACCTGTTGAGCCTGATCCAGTGAGTTATTAATTGATTATTACAGTATTTAGTTATCTGTTTGGTTTACTGGTGTCATTGCATAAATGACACTGCCCTCCCCAGACCCCACTTGTAGGACGACACTGGCTATGTGTTGTTGTTGTTATTGCATCAATGAGTGCTTGGATTTTCAATAATTATTTTTGATAAATATAAGTCATTAATTAATTGAAGGGGTAAAAGCCAGTGTAGAGTTTATTTACAAAATTGCCCGTAGGACTATTGTCTAGTGGTTAGAGCACAACAGGTGATGTGTTGATTAGGCGCATGTCACAAGTTCGAACCCTGCTGCAAACAAAAGAATTTATGTACAAAATAAGAGTTACATGGAAAGGTTTTGGAGATGTGCTGGCTACTCGGGTGGTGAATTTGGTAATAGTATGAAAGTGATAATATTTAAAGTGCTGTCTCTCCAGGTCATGTAAAACCTTTGTGGTTCAAGTAGTTTTATATCAAGACTAGATATCCCATAGTTGACTGAGTTATAGCAAGAGGGCGAAGTGAGTCTTTTTTACAATATCACTTCTAAAAAACTTTTCCTCTTTTATCATATCCTATTATTGCTTGTTTGGCCAAGCTTCCAATATATGCTTATTTTAAAAAGTGTTATTTGTCAGAAGTGCTTCTTTACTTGAGAAGCAATTTTATTTAGCTAATCAATCTGAAATACACTTTTGCCAATATTAGAGGAGCAATTTGTGCTTGACCAAGGTTCTAAAGTTGCTTCTGGGGAAAAGCTACTTTTTTCAGTTTTCGAAAAACTTCTACTACTCAAAAGCTCTTTTATCTTTTAAAAGCTTGGCCAAACACCTTAACTCTCTAAAATAAGCACTTTTGGCTTCCCAGAAGCTTTACCGAATATTGATAATTTCTTGTGTTGTGTGCGTGTATATTATTTTCAAGGCAGAATACATAGTTTACCCCCTGATTTGAGACCAAATCCCTATGACACACCCCTCGAACACAGGCAACCTTTTAGAGAACCAACCTTTCCAGAGTGTCTACACACCACTCTCGTGCTTGACCACTTCTTGGAGATTGTAGGAAGAGATGTGGAGGAATTTAGGTTAGAAGGTTATTTCGTGGCCGGTCAGTGGTGGGTTTAATCGAGAGAAAGGGGATGGATGATTTCTTGGTGGCTTCAGATTACGTCCATGGCAGCGTGAATCAAGAGAAGGGACAGTTGGTGATGGGTTTAAAAGTGAATCTAGTTTTTGCTGCTATGGTTTCATGATGGTTGGCTGGTGGTTGCAGGTGGTTTCATTGGTTCCGGTGGTGCTTTTGAGGTATAGGTGTGCAGCTGTGTGTTAATGGATATGAGTGCTTAGGTGGGGAAGATGAGGGAGAGTGTATTAATGGAGGATATGAGTGCTTAGGTGGGGAAGATGAGGGAGAGTTAATGGGACCAAATAAAAAAAAGAAAAATTATAAATTTTGACATCTGACAGTTAAATAAGGAATTGACCATAATGTACAAGGTTAATGCACCATTCTTTTGGTTAAGCACGCGCTCACCAGGTAAGCAAACAGGTGTCTTAGATCCACTTTGGAAAGGTTGGATGTGTAAAAAGTTGCCCGTGTTCGACGGGTGTGTCACAGGGATTTAGTGTCAAGGTCCGGGGGTAAACTATGTACTCTGCCTATTATCAACCCTCTAACTACAACTTTAAAGCTGCCTTAGGCTCTTTTTGTTTTGTGTTTGAATAAGCATTTGGGACATTATTCTAATGATGACTTTGACGTCACATGTAGCATTATCATATAAACTTTTAGTGGATGCATTTGGACATATTTCCATTTCAAATGTAGCTAGCAGAAATGTTATGTCACAGACTTGAGATGAGTATCCATCGTCATTAACTCACTACTAGTTTCTCTTTTTTGTTGTATATGCATCAACCTTCAGGATTACATTGATATCTCGTCTTACTTAAATATTTGAATAATTGTTGTGAGCTTTTTGGTTGAAAAAGTTCTGGAGAGGATCTGATAAAGGATTACTTGCGAGTCAAAGTTCATTCTGATGGTGGAGTGTACTATCTGTTATGCAAGCCATTTTTTGCCTTGAAGACTAAGTGGAATCTTAAGCTGATACTTTCAAATGGTCAATGCAGCTGAAAGTGGCATACAGTTTATATACCAATCATAGATGTGTTGCTTCATTTACAGGAAAAAGGTTAATGTTTCAAATTACGTGCTTTTTCTCTGGCAGAAAATAGATGAGAAGGTCATCACTGAGGTTTTTCTGAAGGTTTTGGATAATTACATCAAGTGGTGTAGATACTTGCGCATTCGGCTTGTGTGGAATAAGTTAGTTCTGCAACTTTTGTTGTATATAGTGGCTAATGTAATTCTCAACTGATTCTCATTTCAATCGTTTCAACAGATTAGAAGCCATTAACAGGGACAGGAAGCTTTTTCTTGTTTCACTCTACTTCTGCATATGGGGTGAAGCTGCAAATGTCCGTTTTCTTCCCGAATGCATCTGCTATATATTCCATCATGTAAGTCAGTCTGTGTTTTCTATTTCTTTTGCTATTTGATTAGCGGTTGAACTGGAGCTATTTGCTGTTTGATCTGCGGTTTTGCAGGATGTAGTTTCTCTTTTGGGAATTTGTGGCTCTTCTAGTGATGATTTGCTAAATAGATTATTGACATATTTAGTCCCAAGATTAATGCGTTAAATCAAAGATAATAGATATATTTTCCAAAATTCAAGTATTACATTGTGCACAAGCTGACTCAAATATCATAATGCTCATTTGAATGCAACTCTCTGATATCCTATTACTATGTGTAATAGCTCAAAACTGTGGTTCCAAAACCTTGTAATTTTTCTTTTATGAAGCAAGTAGAAGCAAAAGTTACCTAGTAGAAGCAAAGAGCAAAGAACAACCTGCTAGCTTCACTACAGATATGCTCCAAAACCTTGTAAATCTTGTCTTAGTTGATTAACTATTTAAGTGAGCTGAACCTACTATTTGTTTAGTTTTAGTTTAAGTGAGCTGAACCTATGATTTCTAACCCAGACTGTTTTAATGAACCTGAAGCATGCCAGGCGTATGGGTCATTTCAAAATATAAGTACTGTTAATGCTGCCATTCATTGTAAGACACAGGATATGGGTTGACAGCTGGAGTGACTATAGTATCTAGCCAGTTTGGAACTTAAATGTTATGTAGTAATCGTGGTCAAGGTCCTAAAGTTTTGTCCAGCGTTCCTTGGTTTAGCTAGGATCTAAATTTCTTTTGGTATTCGTGACAGTAAAAAAGATGATGCTGTGTGTCTTTTATTTTCCCACTTCTATTCTATACCACCCCAAGACACTTACTGGATGCACTTCTTCTAGCATGTAGAAAGTGCCTAAATCACCACCTACTATATTCAGTTATCCTTAAGGCTGTTAACTGTTGGTTTCTCTTCCTTTCTCTGTTCGTTTTTTGTATTCTTGATGATTAATTCAGGCTAATGTTTGTCCTCCCCAAACTTCTAAACCCTTTTTGTTGGTTCTCTCTTTTTTCCTTGGAAAAAGGGATATGGTCTCAATTTCTCCAAGTAACTTAACCAGCTTGTGTTTATTTGCAAGTCAACTGATATCATTCTTTCTTCGAGATTATTCCTTTAAAACTGCTTGGCCCTGTTTCTACTTTCCATAAGTGAGACTGCTTCTCTTAGTTGGTTAAGGGCCTACCTCTCGTTGTGCCGGGCTTGGTGAGCTAGACTGACTGTGAAATCTTTAGTCTGTCCAGTTTTTGTGTCCTGATGGACAGTTTTGGTGAACTCGAGTGAAAATATGATGTTGGGTGTTCCTTTTTTTTTTTTGGGATCCTGTACCTCTGGTTTCTATTAGCACAGTCTTTGTGCTAAGGACTACTTTTAATTGTTAATAAAATACCTATTACCTTGTTAAAAAAATATGATGTTGAGTGCATGGTCATATTAGATTTGCAGTACCTACTGAGCTGAAATCACATTTAAGCAGAACATAATGGTGCTTAATTGTCTAAAGATAGTTTATGCAGGCTATGGAGTATTACCGTCCTTTTTTGCGTTTTGTCATTGTGGGGATCAGTTTGATATTATTTCTAGAAAAATGTTAGATGAGATCATTATAAGGATGTTGTAGTGGTTTTTTCGTGAAGCAGTGTCCAGCACTAGTTATTGCTCTGTCTGCATATTGTGTGGCCTCCAAATTGGGGCCACAGGAAAAATTTGTATGTTTGTCCTGATAGGGTCACATGTTATTTTGAATTATGCAGATGGCTAGAGAACTAGATGCAATTTTGGACCATGGAGAAGCCAGTCCTGCCGCGAGTTGTGTGGGCGAGAACCAGTCTGTGTCCTTTCTGGAACAAATTATTCGTCCTATATACGATACGATAGTAGCTGTGAGCCCATTTATCACGTTTTATTCCGTTATTCCATAAACTTTAATCCACTTCTGAACTTACAACTACTGCTTGAGTTGTGAATAATACTTGATGAAGTAAACATTCAAAAAAATAACACTTGATGTTGATGGAGTAAGAACTGTGATTCTTCGCCATAAAGATGAAATGCATCTTGGTTTGCTTGCAAAATCAAATTTGGAGCGCTATAAACTGAATTAACTCAGTGAAGTTTGAATAGCTTGGTTATACTAGGAATAGTAGTAATCTGTGCTTAACTACATATTAAAAAAATGTAACCTGTGCTTAACTGATTTCCCAGCCCGTGGTAGGAAAATGCTTGTGCGTTCCATTGTGAGGACTTGCCATATTTTGCTTCCATATTCCTTATAAAAAAGTTAAAAATTATGCTTCCATATTGTTAAGGATCTTCAATGCAAATGAATGATGTTGGCTTCTTGTAAATTTCTGACTTCTTTATGGTACCCTTCAATGTCTGCTCCTATGGTTCAACCGTCTATTCTTATCCAATATCAACCATATTAAGGATTATCTGGTGCTCTTTGTGACTCTATTGTAACTTCAATGGTTTATCTTTTAGCATAGTCAAGCTTTATGGTTTGTGGATAGTGGCAAGTTTAGCTGCATTCCCCAGTATTGGCTAAAAATCTTTTTCAGAGGATAGTGAATCCTTATTAGGCAGTGCATGATGTTTAGAAGCAGTGCTTTTTGTGTATGTGCAGCTTATTGCATCTTCTCAAAATATTTAATGTCATTGGAGGTCTTTCACAAATTAGTAGAGGAATGTGTTAGTTTGTTGTGCACTGGTGTCTACTCTTCATAAAATGTTTAGAATGTTTTTACCCTTATCTAAAAAATCGTTTACAATGTTACCTTGAGATCTTGTTATATTTCGTTAAATTTTGTGCGTGTTCTGGTAGTTGTTTACTTTAACCTATTTATTAATGTTTTTTTCTTTCTGGTGTGGTTTTTTTCCTCCAAAACTGCAGGAAGCTGCGAGAAACAATAATGGGAAAGCTGCACACTCAAAGTGGCGGAATTATGATGACTTTAATGAATATTTCTGGTACATTCCTTTTCTATTTGCAAAATGAATTTAGCCCCACGGAATTGGATATCATTCTCGGTCACTGATGCTTTTGCAGGTCACCTGCTTGCTTTGAGTTGGGTTGGCCTCTTAAGAAGGATTCCTCATTCTTGCGGAAGCCAGCTAAGAAAGGCAAAAGGGTTGGTTTTATTAGCTACTAAAATTTGTGTTGAATTATGAGTTGGTTAGTTAGATGCTGCATATACAAAATCTGCAGTAGAAATATTTTTTTCACTTGTCCTGATGAAGCTTGCCATAGTATTCTGGTTTCCGGTGTGTCTCTATGGGTATTTTTTAGTCTTTCCTTTTGTGCCTTGAATTGGTTTCTATTTGTACAACGTGATGAAAATGGCTAGAATGTGAAGAGTAACAACATGTCATCAGATAATAAATGCATGATAGACTGTCTCACATGTTAGAATGTTGCTTTAGGCGGAGTTGATTTTTGATGACAAACTGAAATATGCTATTTGATTCTCTAGATTCTTTTTTTAAAAGAATGGATTCTCTAGATTCGTTATGTATTTAATAATTTCGATTTGGTTTTCTAATCTGCTCATGGTGAGGAAAGTTGTTTCTTAAGGCCTTCCTATACTATTTCATGATTGCAGATTGTGTTAAGACCGTTTTTGGCTTGTGATTGAAGTTGGTGAAAGGATGAGTCCTGAAAGGGTCTTCTAGAGTCGCGAATATTTGGGTTTCAGGAATCTGGTTTTGAGTTTTCGGTTAAACTCTGGTTTTGTTTGTCACATTTTCCAATAGAAGAAAATGGTATTTTTATTTGAGGTGTATTAACTGTGATGGTTCTCATACCGTTCCTTTTCTTTTACTGCGCCGTTTCATCATTTTGACCTTCATCATGTTTTTTTTACTGTCCCCCCCGGTATTTATCCCTATTTCCTCAATATTAACCGACTGTGGTGTTGTTTTTTTTTTTGTTTTGTTTTAATCTTGTTCTTTTTGTACTTACTCTGAACTGGCAGACTGGAAAAAGCACATTTGTTGAGCATCGGACATTCCTTCACTTGTACCGGAGTTTTCATCGTTTGTGGATCTTTTTGGTTGTCATGTTTCAGGTTATATTCATTCTTTTCATGCTGCTCACCCACTAAGGTTTTTTTTTATAGTTTTTTTTAACTTATCCACTAAGTTTGATTTATAGCATAAAAGGGTTTGTATCATCTTCTTCCTCTACTGTTCAGGCATTGACAATCATAGCCTTCAGCCATAATAAAATCAATCTGGACACTTTCAAGAAACTGCTTAGTGTTGCCCCGACATTTGCTGCTATGAATTTCATAGAGAGTGAGTTGGCATCTGTGCTATTGCTCTGATTTATTTATTAGTCTTTTCTTTTCTTCTGCTTCCATCCTTGTTTACTGTGTCATCTTGCTTCTTCTCTAGGTTGCTTAGATGTGCTCCTTATGTTTGGGGCCTACAGTACCGCAAGAGGCATGGCTATATCAAGGATTGTTATCAGGTTTTTCTGGACTGGCGTGAGCTCGGCATTTGCGATATATGTCTATCTGTAAGTCTTTTTTCCTAGGAGTTATTTGCTCTTGTTTTATATTCTCATTAAAGATTGGTATCTGATGTAATCCTAATACAGGAAACTTTTAGAAGAAAGGAATACAAACAAAGACCCCTTTTATTTTCGCCTTTATATCCTGGTTCTGGGTGTTTATGCTGGCATACGAATTGTTTTTGCGCTCCTGACAAAGTTACCTGCCTGTCACACACTATCAGAAATGTCTGATCAATCTTTCTTCCAATTTTTTAAGTGGATCTATCAGGTATTCTTCTATACATTGTAAGACTCCTTTGCCACTAAGC